CGTCCTCGTATTTCGCACCACCAGTCAGTGCGCAACCCCTCAGTTAATGAGCATTTTTGACAATTCCATTTGCACGTGAAAACGATCTCGCAAGTACATGTACATGGGAGTTCTTGAGAAAAGACGATACAGTACAGTAGTGTCCCTTCAACCTGCCAGGAAATCTGTTGCTTCATTCGTGGGTCAAAATGGCTTGGTGAGTAGATAGTTGACTTTTTCACTATCAATAAAGTTATGTTTCGGTGATGATCGACAATTTCCCAATGATTTATTTGGATGCAAACTTGCTTAGTGTTTTTCACGAAAATCGCAGGCCTCCTCTTTTTTAAGTGCACCTGACTGTTTTGCAATATCTGGATAAAATTGAGACTTACAATTTTCCACGAAAAGGATTGAACAACCATTTAATACCAAAATTTTTGCTGCCGGGCCAATAAAAATTTTAAAGTTTATGCACGACTCACTCAGTGATTCCGGCAGTGTTTACATTTTTGCAAGACGAATGGTAAGTCTGGTTCCCCAGTAAACAACCACCATTCACTAGGTTTCCTTCAATGCAAAGTCTGGGTTCCCGATTTTGATCACACACATTTACACTTATCTCTGATGTCATTTGATTGGCCAGTATTAGAGAGAATATGTCAATCAACCAATCACAGATAGTCTTTCACGAAACACATATGGCAGTTTTCTCTGTTAATCTCACCAAGTCTAAACCTGCGATAACGAAATATTTGGGTGCACTTGACTGTTTCGCAATGACTTGAAAAGTAAAAACTTATTGTTTGGCTGGATATATGACATATCTATCTTTCTGCTGTCAAGAATATTCTGCCGGCCCAGATTTCAATCCATTAAAACCAGCTTTTTTTGTACCCTCATTTTTTCACACGAAAACTTATGTTTTACGGCTAATATCCTTCAAAAGAGACTGCGAATATTTGTATTTTTTACACAGGACATGAGACTGATATCTTAACTGTTCATTTATGTAAAGATGTTCCATTCTTAAAGGTAACACAAGGTGGTAAACAATTTTGAAAAGTCCACTACACAGCTCATTACATATGCATGTTTCAAACAGCTGTGCTTACGAAGCAAATGAAAGGAGCAGCTTTTACGGATGCTGCACGCTGACTGCCACAATATGACTGACGTAGGCACTCTACAGACAACTGCGCACAAGATTAAATACCCTGTCGCCCGGCGCAGGATACGTGCCTATCATAAATTTGCTTCCAGTCTTTTCTTCTTTATTTAATTTTGTCAATGTTGAAAACATTGAAGGGGGAAAAGTAAAAAAATCGGATTTGGGAAGAAAAATACCAAAAAGTCGGATCTCCGATTAAAATCGTAAAAGTGGCATTTCTGAAGGTTGAAGCCTGCATAAATTAATTTTTGAATGGTAAGATTTCTGTCGCTATTCGAGTCTGCTTGAAGTAAGCCTCCACAGTGCAATTTTTTACATTCAAAACAAAAGAAAATTCTTCCTCCATTTTCGTGAATTTTGCATTCGAATATTCGCATTTTGGAAATAATATTCGATATTCGATTAAATATCTGAATATTAGGCGCAGCCTTATTTTTTTTAATCTAAATTTTTATAGCCCAAAAAATTAGGGTCAGATGATGGTCTGTATTTTTTTTTGAGGGGGGGCGTATATTTGCAACAAGTACTAAGTCAGTGTCAGATTCATATTGTACATATGTATGTCAATACTACTTATCAGCACTGTAATTGAGTAGTAAAGCAACTGGTTGTTGAAATACAAATGCACAAGAGCCCTTCATCTCACACACACAAAAACTGAAACAATACAATGTACAGGACGACGTACACAAAATAAGGCTCAGGGCAAGGCACCACAAGTTTTTATATATTATCAATTTATCGAATAAAAAGATATAATAAGGTTCCGCATGATTTTCTAGGTTGGGTTGTGTAACTGGAAACACAGCAATTTTTTTGTCTGGCCTGATGCATTGCTGCTGGCGTATACCCTTGCCCCCCTTTAAATACAGCACAAATCATGCCCGACATTGGACACGACAATGGACCTGATGCTTGAAGTTAATCTCCCCGGTCAAATATAGGACCAGGCCAACATGTGAACCGCTGTGTAAGTGCTTTACATTCGTTAAGTTCATGACATGACCATAGGCCCCTAATTAACGTCCATGAGTGTATAGCCACCGGGTCCCTTATCTGACTTAAGTGACTTTACAATAAGTGGCAAAATTAGGGGCCTGGAGACTATGGAGGTGGCTCGGACAGCCAGGACTCTCGCAAAATGATGGGTGCTGATGAAACAGCAACCATAGCGATGTATGCATGCACCAGCCAGTCAGAGGTCATTTCTTCGATCAGTATGTCCATGCGCATTCGTTGCAGTTATTTTCATCGGCTGCTACCAAAAATTTTGTTTAACTCCCACATGTCCACACCACCCCCATGGGGCCTACGGTCGAGCGTTAGTCATTAGGCCCCTTGGGCCTACCGTACCTTCTCATGATATTTACTAAATTCTTCTATTAAGCAAAAGCCCACTCGCCTAACACAGTGCTAGGTCAGGCTGGTTCTTTTAGAAATTCAAGTTCACATTGTAAACTGTTTACTTGAATCACTTTCTGCCTTTCCGGAGTTGATAACACACAGGCATGACTAGACCCATAAACAGGGCCTGACATACAGTATACTCCTCTGTCGGATAATGGGCCTTGTCACGATTCATAGAGATTTCTTTTGACAAATTTTATCCAGGATATCCGGGGGAATAACTAAACATTCGCTTAATTTTATGAGCTGACAGTGCAACCGATATGTTCACTACTTATGAGGTAAAATATGCCCTAGGTTGCTAATTGCAGAACACTCACCTTTTCCTCGTTTGGAAGAACAAAGTTTGCCTATTTGTTGCCATTCCCCCTCCCCCCGACAAATTTCGCCCCACTTGCACAAAACTGACAGCTGTTTCGTCCCTTTCATGTCACATCACAGAGAGTGAGCCGCACTACCAATGATATATGCTGCAAGCAATGTGTGACTGGACAGGGAACCAGCCAAGGGCGTTGCTTGTTAGCTGCGACACAAAACAGCTGTAACTTTCCACTACTACCTAGATCGACAGGTACTTTTGCAGATCTGAAAGAAATTTGTAAGTGCTGAAGTCTGGGTGCAAACAAGACAGGCTCTCATACAGGCTACCTTTACTTAACCATACAAAGGAGTCTGTGTAATGTACAAGTCAGGCCTAAATTCATCCTGAGTGGGAAAACAGCAACAAAAAGGCAACCTGTTTTCCTCCAAACGAGGAAAAGGAGAGTTTTCTGCAATTAGCAACCTAGGGGATAGTTTACCTCATAAGTAGTGAACATACCAGCGCAATTTCAGCTCATAAAATCAAGCGGATGTTTAGTTATGCCCCCGGAATAGTGTGCTAAAGTAGACAGGCAAACATCATGCCTGTGAGTTTGAACGTCATGTTTGTGAGTTTGAACAATGTGTTTGTGAGTTTGAATGTCGTGTGTATGAGTTGGAACATCATGTTTGTGAGTTAGAATGTCGTGTTTGTGAATTGTAAATGTCGTGTGTGTGAGTTGCAAACGTCGTGTGTGTGAGTTGGAACGTCATGTTTGTGAATAGTAAACGTGTGAGTTGCAAACGTCGTGTGTGCCCATTAAGATTTTTGGAAGTTCTCTTTTAGTCAGTTAATTTTTCAGTTTCTAAACACTAGCAAGTACTTTCCAAAGCCCTTTTTCCGAGTTGGATTTCTGAAGAAGTAACTGAATAAAAAAATATTACAAATTCTAAAATCACTGCATGTTATTTTTCCTATCAAAGGGTTCCGGAAGCGTGCCTTAGGGGTCAACGTTCAGGCTCTATTTCATGAAGCTGCTAAGCACAAAGATTTACTTAGCACAGTGCTATTGTCTTGCTCAGAAAAAAAAAACAGGTTACCAGCCAAAAATCCATGTCATTTTTGTGATAAGTGAACATCAGCTGAACACCAGTCATAAACAATATACAACACATGAACATTTTGAATGGTAATCCTGTTTTTAATAAGGGAAAAAATCAAGCACAAACACGATGTCCCAACTCACACACATGACGTTCAAACTCGCAGTCGAAAGAAATCCCAATGATTCATACCTGGACAGGGCCCAGTATACGACACAGGATTATCCGTTGGGCCCTTCTTTACAGGTCTGCGACATGAAAAGTTTCTTCAACATGTTATTGTTAACATCAACATGGTTAAGGCTTTGCTTCCGTCTGGACAGAATCGTTGTACAAGTTACAACCACGACAACCTGTAGCCTACTTGTACATAAGTTGTAGGCCTAGGCCTCCATCAGTGTCCATGCTGTACGGCACTAGCTGTATATATATCAGAGTCGAGACATGAAAATGTTACGCCCCAACAATAGCATCAGTCCCAACTATAGTTTGGCCAGTCCCAACTAGAGTTGGGTCCGTCTCAACTACAGTGCTACAATTGGGCCGGCCCCACTACAGCAGATACATGTAGGTCCTGTGTGCATGATGTGCCCAGCATGTGCCAAAGTCATAGTTTACAAATGTCATGTCATGTCACTGGTCATAGGGCTAGATGAACAGATGAAGTGCCACATTTTAGATGAATTTGTTAAGTGTGAGACACATTGACTTGGATGATGTTGAGACATTTCCCACAGACATTGGTCAACAATAGTTAGTTGAGCAAGCCCAACTGCTGTACTGCCACCCTGACTACCGTTAGAACTGTCCCAACTATCAATCATGACTATACTAGTCGGGACTTATGCTATAGTTGGAACGTAACAAAAATAAATGACCCGATCTGGGAGAGGTAACTGACGCACAAATACTGACACAGTGACAGGTAGGCATGGTAGGTGCCCCCTGTTTTTGTCAGGCCTGGCCACCTAACCACTGTTAACTTGGCGTGCTTTGCAGATATTGACAACCTTACACGTTGACGCCTTGATAGGCCTACCTGAACTGAAGATGGCATGTGCCTTCTTTGTCGACGAATATATCGGCAGAGGTTGTGCCAAACAATCAACACTCTCTGAAGTTAATGAACAGCTACAGTTGTCTCTGGCATATCACACAAAACAGATTTAAAGCATTTCTACCTCGATGTTTGGGACTCAAACGTCATTCCATAACACACAGAATTGGCAGTTTCAACGTTCACTCCGGACAGGCACTATTTTACGTAAAGCGGATGAGTCTTGGTCAAACCACAACCAGCTGAAGCATTCACGCACCCATATGCCTTGTCCGAAACGGGCTTTTAGAGCTACGGCTGCGTCTATTGTCAGCCAATGCGCCTCCTTCCTTGCCAAGCTCCGTATTATTTTCAATGCATCGAAGACATGCACGTTGTGTCGTACGGAGGCGTATAAGGGCCACTCAAAAAGAATATGATATAAAATCAGTGGCAATTACATATTCCAGACCACTGATTTTATATTATACTCTTGTCAAAGCACTTACACTATATTTGGTTTGAACGTCCCAAGCTGTGAGTTGTTTCATGCGTTGTGTTTGTAAAAGTACTGTTTCTAATCTCCTAATTTTAAATTTCGACTGATGAAAGTTCAACATTTAATAATAAATTTCAAGTCCGCTTGCTTGTGTTTGGCGCTAGGAAAATGTAGGAAGGAATTAAAAACAGTTAACCCTCATCTGAATGTGGAAATTCACACCACAAAATAAGATTTCGTTGTCTTTGTGTTGAAAAACAAGCATGGATGAAATGTAACATCCATTTTTTATTTATTTATTTATATATTTCTGATGACCGACAGCGGTTACCCGCCACTTACAGGCATGAGAAATACATGTAGATAAGATCTCTTAATTAAATAGTGTGCAAATTAATTATACAAATTACCATACAAATAATAAAAATTAAAAGACATCCAAAACTTAGCAAAGTCTTGAAACAGCAGTAAGGGGCTGAAGAAGAT